CTTTTCGATTTATTTTTATATTCTACTTATTTGTACCATCTATTATAAAACATTCTGAAATTAAAATAATTATTTTTCAATTCAATCAGATGTAAATGTATAATATTGTATAAGTTTACATAGAAAAATAATATTATATTATATTTATAATTATTTTATAATTATAATATTATTATTGTTTCTACATTTAAAAAATCAAATATTATTTTTTCAAATATTATTAATTGTATTTTTTAGACACAACTTGGACATAAATATATAATACTTAAACCAGATAGTGGATTATTTTATCCTGCTGCGAAGTATTTTTGTAATAAAATGATGAAAATAATTCACAAACATGATGAAAATAATATATTATTTATTATTGATTGTGAAAAAATACGAAGTATCGATTATACAGCAATAAAAGTAAGAGATATGTGTATATATAAAATATAAATATAAAAATATTCATAAAATAATAAAATATACATATATAAAAACACATAAAGTAAAATTTAAAAGAATAATATATTAATTAATATATTAATAATATGTATTTTTTTTTTAATTATAGGAAATCGAACTGTTATCTGCAAATATTAATGCTGAAAAGAAAAAATTATGGTTCATGAATATTTCTTTACAGACATTTAATAGTATTGAAGCTTTTGCAAATAACAAATATTTCTATTTTATTGATGATGAAGATAAAATATCTTCTATTTTTCATGGTATATTTTAATTGTTAATTTTTTAATTAGTTATTATTATTATTATTTTTAAATATTTTAAAATATATCTAATGTAATATTTTATTGTTTAGATATTTTAAATAACACAGAAACAATGAAAGGACAACTTTTAGAAAACATGATAGAACATGGAACATTCATGTATACCAATGATAATAAAAAAGAATTAGAAATACTTCCAAAATTTATAACAAACTCTGCAGATGGCACAGAAGAAATTGCATTAATGTTAATATCTTCACAAGAAACCAAACAAAATTGATATATCATTTTTGCAGTATTATTTCCTCGTTTTCAATATTTTTGACAAGAAATGTTATAAGTAATGCGAAATAAGAAGTATCAAGTAATAATATTGCTTAAGACTGAATATTCTCTATTGAAAACATTAATACATACATAAGTATAAGTTGATTTACTTGAAATATTGTATTAATAATCAAACTTGAAAAGTACTTATATATACATTTATATATATATAATATGGTAATTTTGAAAAGAAAAAATACAGAAAACATATTTATAAATAATATATATATATAACATAATAAAATGAATATTCAATGATTGAAAATGCAATGTATTGTTTACTATGTTATATTCTAATAATTATTTTGNTATAAATGCAAATTTTTTGTTAAAAATAAATATAATGAAATTAATTTTTTAATTTTTTATTAATTTTTAATATATAATTATAATTATATTATAAATATAACAGTTATAAATATAATTATATTTCATATTTTCAACATTATAATTTGTAAAAATACATATATGTTTATAATATCTATATCTACATAAATTGATGAATCTTTATAATACATTAGAAATCTATGTGAAAATAAGAAATAATTATTAAATTTCAATAAATTAATAAGTCTATTAATGATTTATAGAATATTTATATATGTATGTAGCACTTATAATGTATAATTAAATAATTTAATCATTATTTTTAGATTACTTCTAATAATTTATCAAAAAAATTTTTTTTGAACGATAAATATTCGATTTTATAAATTTTTATTAAACAAAATTTAAATTTAAATTTAAATAAAAACACCAATTAAAATTTTTTAAAATTTTAATTTTAAATCTTGATGATTTTTTATTATATTATAGCACATGAAAAATTATTTTTATCATTGGATTTGTTTTATAATTATATTATATTTATTAAATAAACATTTCAATTAATATAAAAATTTTTAAGGTTATATAGTATACATATATATAATTACTAGATATATATATATACTTTTATAATTCGATAAAATTAAAAATATATGATATCATTTATAAAAATTAAAATGATCTTATTTTTATATAAATAAATAAATTTTTTTTAAAATTTTTAATATACAGTGTGTCTTTTGAAAACTGACAATCGAATCTTGATTCAATATATTTTTTTGAAAGATTATTAATATATAAAATTAAAATTGAAAAATACATCTTTTACATTAGTAATTTTTTTTTCGAAAAAGTTCAATTGAAAAAATTTAGGGAATTAAAATCACTAAATTTATGAAACTATACTTTTTATCAAAAATTATAAAAAAATCCTAGTATGTTTCTTTTATGCTAATTTCACAAAATACTGTATTAACAAATTCGAAGAGAAACATTCCAAAAAATAAGAAATAAAGACCACTGTTCTAAATACATGTATGTATTGATAAATTTTTTATATGTATTTATATGTTATTATATTGAAAAAAAAAATTAATAAGAATAATAAGATTTTGTTAAAAAAAATTTCAATCAAATAAAAAAAATCTTTAAATGTTAGTTATCACAGTTGAACATCATTTAAAAAAATTAAACAATTAAAGTTAAAATATATGCTGGAACAATAATATTTTAATTAATATGATATATCATTAGAATGTAATAATAGTTAATAATAATTTAATATTACATTGCAATTTTTATATTATTCATCTCATTTCATTTCATTATATATTGTATTATTAAAAATTTTAAATTATTAAAAGACAAAAAAAATTACTGCATACAGTTTAAAAAATATAATAAATAATAATAAATAAATATTTTAATATAATTTTAAAATACATATAGTAAAAAAAATATATAATATATCATATAGTATATAATTTTTGTTATTATATCTTACTATATATTATTATTTACAATTTATAGATAAAACTATCTTATAAATTTATGCATAGTATATAAGTAAAAAAATAGCATTTAGTATGTATTTAAATAACATTATTAATAATTATTTATTTATATCTGTGGAGATTTTGAAATTCAATAAAAATTCCATTTAGATATTCCATAAAAATTCACATTACATATAAAAGTAGTTAGTTATTTATATATATAAATAGTTAATTACATTAAATGGTCAATCATTTAAAATGATAAAAATTTTTAATAAATCTTGAATATCAGAACTTTTATCTTTTTTTTAAATAAAATAATGATATTAATTTTTTGTTATTTAAATCTAATAACATTTATTTGAAATATTTTTTTCTATTTCATATAATTAAAGAGTTATAGTAATAACTTTACATAGAAAAATATAGAAAGATATATAAAAGAATAAAGATTTTTAAATTTTAATAAAATAAAAAAATCAAAATGTTTCAATGTCAGCTATAATCATATATAAAAATAGATTTCTATTTAACGATGATTTTTACAAACCTTTTTAAGGATATCATAAGATCAAATAATTTTGATAATATAATTTATCTATTTTAATATTGTATAATACTCTAACATAATATTCATTTTGGCACACAAAATTTATTGATTTTTTTATATTTTTCTAGTATTCAATAAATAGATTTCAGAAAACAAGTTTTAATGTTAAAAAATCATTTAATTTTATTATCAAAAATTATAAATGTTTAAATATAAACAAAATAACTATAATGAAGAACTGATTAACAGAGAACTGTAGATAAATCTAATGAGATTTTTTATTCATGTTTTGAAATATCTCTTGTACAAATCAGAATGAATTTTTATCTAAAATATCAGCATTGAAAATTTTCGACAATTATGCTATATACATAAATTATAAATATATACAAAGTAAATATGAATAAAACATTAAATTAATTTATCAAACACATTGAAAACATTAAATTTTAAATATGCATAACTTTTAAATTATTGAATTACTAGAATTAAGAATAAATAATTTTTGAAAATGATTCATTAAGTAATAAAGAAGATATAAAAAAAAATCATTAACTTCTAATGCAAAAAGAATTTTTTCTTTTTTATTTAAAACATTTTTTCATAATTTCTATATTTTTCGAGATATATGCTTTAAAAAATTAAAATACAATCTTATTTGTAAATGTAATATTTTATTAATAAGTATTTGTATGCTAATTTTATTATAAATAGTTAATAAGAATTGCTACTATAGAAATAAATTTCTCAATATTAAATTTGAAATAATAATAACAATACTTATATAATGATATGAAAAATACGATATGATATACTAATATGATATATTGTTAATACTTATATAAGTTAGACTAGGTTAGATAATCAAAAATTATTTTTATTCATATATAAAATTAGTTTTTTAAAGTTTGATAATAAAAATGTTATATTGATTTGTATTTACAAATCGTTTAATTGTTTAATCGTTTAATGAGTTAAACTTAATAATTTTTTATAATATTTCGAAGTTTTCAAAATAAACTTTAATCTACATATATTTCATAAGATTTTAAAAAATTTGTTAATTCTAATATTTTTCATAAGTTTCACGATTTCTTTAAGTTCAATAAATCACTATTATCATACTTTAATTATAAAAATATTTATATCAAAGTGATTATATACTATATTATATATATATATTATATTTTATATATATATATATACCATACTATATATACTATATACATACTAACTAAAAATTTTTATAGAAATAAAAGATAATTGTTTCGCATTACAATAATAATGAGAAAATAAAAATGAATGGAATTAGTATTTCTGAAAAAAAACGATTAGAATCGTTGAAACATAAAAAACAAATTTTTAAAGCCAAAGAATTGATAGTACAAAATGCATTGAAGAATTTGGTAAATATATTTAAAATTTTAAGTTTTTGAGATATTAAATATTTTTTATTTAATATTTATTTTTATAGGATAATAAATCGTATCAAGGAAAAATAATATTTGACGATGATATTGATAAAATTGAGCAACCTAAAATCAATCAAAAAGAAAAAAAAAGGAAATATTATTTATTTAATAATGATGATAATGATGATGAAAATAATGATATTGATATTAATAAATTTGAAATTAGAAAAAAAGTAAGGTTTTTATAATATTCATAATCAATCTTAAATAATTAATAATTTTAATTCTTATAGCGTAATATTATTTTGGGAAATGATGAACGATTTAAACTTGATAAACGTTTTATAGAAGATGATCAAAAATTAAATAAAAATATTACTACAAATAATGATGAAATTGATTTATTAAAAGAAAAGCAATTACAATTAGATATATTAGAAAATATTTTGGGAGTGCCAATTACTTTAAAAAATGAAAATATAAATAAGGATGTAAAACTTTTAAAGTAAATGAATAAATAAATTAAATAATATATTGATAAATAATTATTTCTATATTAATATTTCAATATTATTAATAATAATTATTATTTATAAAAATATATTTAAATATTTTTGTACATATTATAATGTTTTAGAAAAGGAATGATTAGATATGATCCTACAAAAAATGATCATAAAGAATATGAAATTAATACAGAGAAATCTAAATCAGAAACCAAGAAAAATAAAAAAAAAAATAAAATTAATAGTAAAGTCTTGAATGAAAATCCATCTATAGAGGTGTCTAAAAATATATATTTTTCAATATCAGATTCATTATCAAAAAGTTTCAAAGAAGAAGAACAATTTAGTTTGCTAAATATATATAGAAAAAAAATAGATAAGGAAAAAAGTTAATTTTTGTATAATATATTAATATATTAAATATTTAATTTATATATTTATTATTTTTAATTATTTTTTTATCATTACAGGAGATAATAGTGATAATGATAATGATAATGATAATGATAATGATAATGGTAATGTGTCAAATATGTCATTAAAATCTGAAAAGATTCATTTTGATTTTAATTCAAAGAAACTATTTAAATACGATTCTTCTGATGATGAAGACAATAATAAACAAGAATATATAAATAATGAACAATATATACACCATGAAATTAAAGATATAAATAAATTTTTCTTTGATATTAATGATATTCGTTTTAATGGTTTGTATTTTATATTAAGATATAATATTTATTTATGAATATATAATATAACATATTTAATAAATTTTAGAGGCAGAAAATTTTTTTTCAAAAGAACATGTATCAGAAGATACATTTAAAGAACTTAGACAAGAATTAAAACAAATTATACGCTCAAAAATTCGAAAAAATTTGAAAAAGAAACAACCTTGGGGATATAAAAAGAAAATAAAAAATCTTTAATGTGTATTTTTATTAAGATTTTAAATATGTATAAAATGTTAAATTTATAATGTTTTTTAAAAAAGAGAAATAAAACTTTGTATGGAGATGTCATATAGAATAGCTTATATAAAATATAAAATACAAAATATCTCACTTTTTTAATATAGGATTAACATTATTTTTTTACTATTTACATTCTCATTATTATTGAACATAAATATTTATATAACTACTTATATAATTATAATTTTTATTTATTATAATAATAATTTAATTTATACTTTTGAATTATATCTATTAATATTTTTAAGGTAATTAAAAAATTAAATATTAAAATTAATAATTAGAATTATCAAAATATTACAGAAGTATAAAAGAAGTATAAAATAAATGCATTAAAAAGATTAAATTTATTAAAGTATGCTTTTTTCATAAACAAATGAGGCATATAAATTTGTTTCACTAGATCATTTTTTTTTAAATACATTTTTTCATTGGATCAATTTTTCTTATACATTTCCATATGATATTAATACAATTGTAATATTGCATAATACAACAAAAAATAAATAAAACTATTATTAATATATGTACATATTATTTAATATA